AAAAAACTGGTTAGCTGCATTTAACCACTGCAATTAGATCCTTAAGAGGGAGGAGGGGAAAGGAGGCCATAAAATTAAACTATATTCCCCCTAAAAAATAAAATAAAAACACCCATACCCCTGGCAGCTAACCCTGGTGACAATTACCTTCATTCACAGTGCCTTGTACTTTAACCATGATGGGGAAGACGTCAAAGCAGAGAGTTCTGCTTCTCAACATCTCTCAGCAACCCGGATGATAGTTCGAGCCTCTGCTCATGCTAAAGCAGTAAATCAGGACAAGACAGATTTGCTAATGTGCATGTAATCACCGAAGATGAAGATGCCTGGGCTTTTATTCTGTAATGATTCTAAGACTGTGTCCATTAAATGCAAACAAAAAAAAAGGAAGAAGTCTTGGCAGAACAGGAGAAGTGGTGTATACTTGATGATCTGATCGACTTAAATACTGGGCTTCGTTGGTCTTCGTTGGTCTTCCACTGCTCGGCTACATCATTTGCTAATGGATCATCTGGATTAGGAGCACTTAACAAAGCCTGGATGGATAGCAGAACTGTGCGGATCTGCAGTGCTGGGGACTTTCAAAATATCTAAACATATTCTTCCCAACTTGTCTACATTAGGATGACAAATTTTGGTCATGAAACGTACTTTAGGTGCTGCCATTGGATATTCTTCTGGAAGGAATAGTTCAACTTTAAAAGTCCCTCCCTCAAAGGGGAAATCCTGGGGGCCAGCAATGACCACATGAAAATAATGGGCGTTGCTCTTATCTGGTTCTGCTTTAATGCCAGGAACTGGTTCTGCCAGCAAACGCTGGGTTTCCTTGATGATCCTGCTGGGCTGCCCGGCCATCTTGTCAGATCCCGAGTTCGGCCTCTACTCTTGTCTCCCGCTCCTCTCTCCTCACGCACCAGTGGAAGTCCTGGGCTCCACTTCCGGGGAACGTTGCTGCGCCGCTGAAAATAACAATAATAAAATTTGCAGCCAAACCTCAGTGTTATATTTTTAACATTTTTATTGTGTGATAAAATTACTATTTTGGGCAGGCCTGATTTCAGGCATGAGAGAGCACACGTAAGTGTGTTATGCACATGTGTGTATATATGTGTGGCTGTCATCATTTTTGGATGATTTTAAATTTCACTTGTGACATTAAGTGACTTGCGTTCTCTTCCAAGACACTGGTATTTTTTTCTTGGCTAATTTGAAAGTAAAGAAACTAAGGAAAAGAATGTAATTTAAGAACAAATCTATTGCTACTTTCCCAGCCTGTTTAGATTTCTTTGATTACCCTAAGCATGATGTGTAAAATCCATAATTTCTACTTTGTATTATGAGTCTTGTCTTTGGAAGTGCAGATGTCAGAGTAAGGATTCCTTAATGATATGAAGAAAATCAGATCAACAGTTTAACAAAAAGACTGACAAACTATAGATAAATAAAACCTGCAAAATCTTTGTGGTTTAAATCTCTTTGTACGATCAATGCCTTATCCAGTCACAGACAAGCTTTTTTAGGCAGCAGATAGGGACAAATGCAGATGCCCACAACCAGACACTATGTGGAGAGTCTACATGGGCTGTCTCCATTAACTCTTTCCCCTTAGATCTCAGAGAACTCCATGGAAGAGGAGGCAGAAAGAATGTAAGAGGCAGAAGAATAGAAGGCAAGGTCCTCTGAATCAATTAACAGGCAACTATGAACTCACAAAGATGGAAGCAGTGAGCACAGGGCCTACCCAGGTCTCCCCCAGGTCCTCTGCACTTCTGTTACAGCTTTTAGCTTATGATTTTTATGAGACTTCTGAGTGTGTGAACAAGTGGTTCTCTGATACTTGTTCCTGCTCTTAGAACTCCTGTTGGTTTTACTTGTCCCTCTTAGACGTGATTATTTTTGCTTTATCTTTTTTTATTTTGTCATATTTGGTTGTTAGCTCTTAGATGCCTGTTCTTTTCTAATGGAAGACAGAAAGGAAGTGGATCTGGAAGGGAGGTGATGTGGGAAGAAACTGGAAGGAGTGGGAGGGGGAGACTATAATCAGGATATATTGTATGTGAAAAGAGTCTGTTTTGATAAAAGAAAAAAAAGAAAAAATATCTCCCTATGTATTATTTACATGTATTTATGTTTTTTATATTGTTGCATGGCAATAAGTTGGCTTTTAAATGATTGGTTATATAAGTGTAATTGTTAAATTAGCCCAAATTACTCCTAAAAAATAGTGTATAATTAAAGTTTCTGGGCAAAATCCTTGGCTCTGACAACCCCAATAGGTTAAGCTTCAATAAAAATTTAAAAATGCCAAAGCTATTAATGAGAGGACACATAGGTGCAGTGTTCACATGTGTGTATATGTGTGTGGGTGTAATTTTCAGGGTGATTTTAAATTTCTCTAATGTAATGTCAAAGAGGGGGAGAGAAGTGGTTTAACAGATGTCACCATGTTTGTAGAAGCAACTAGAGAGAAGTTGGATGGCACCCGGTCTATATTTGTGGTACTAACATGAGTTTTATTTTTAAATAGAAAACAAATTTAAGCTGTGTAACTGAACAGGCTTGATCATTGCACAGCTCATCTAAGATGATCTAAGAAGAACTTATTGCTTGAGGGGATTAGCTGTTTCTCAAAAGGTGATTGTTCCTGTTTCAAGGTGTACCCTTAACTTCATGGATGACTGCTCTAATCCAGGCAGTCACACAGCCAGGCCTTTCCGTTCCTGGACTTATCAACTGAGACAATGACTAATTCTCTGTTTAACATGCTTATGTACAGGGTTAAGCAGATAACCCTAAGAAAAAGAGGCAGACACAAAATGAAGACTCCTTCTCCCCATCCTCATTGCTCTGACCACTGGCTGTCTCCTGGGCATTTCATCTTCCTGGCAGAACACCAAGGAGCCCTACCTCTTCTAACAGAAGATCTGGGGATGGTGGGTCCCAAAAGAGGGTACAGAGAGGTGTCAGGAAGAGTCCTTGGGCACAGCTTTTGCTCATTGCCTCCACATGCCAGCTTTTCCTGACTCTTGGCAAATATTTCTCTCCAATATTTTTCTCTTAATAAAATAACTCCATTCCAACAAACATAGAAAGTTGTATCTGAAGTACTGTTTGACAGTCTTCAAAAACTTCTCTATTTTCTCTTCAACTAACAGCAGGCAAGTCACAGGACTAGGTCTCCCAGATTCACACACTCGGGGTTGCTCACACATGCCCCCAACATCAGGGTCAGCTCTACTGTGATGCCTAGGTGGTGTGCAGGGCCCGCTCTCCAAAGTGAGCATTGTGTCCCAAGTGCCCCAAGCTTCAGCAGGTGACGGTTAGGGACAACTCAGCTTTCCTTGTTCTCATTGTCCTGGGCCAGCTCTCCTGCTCTCATTAGCCAGGGGCAAAGGGGAGAGGAAAAATCTCTCCTTTGTCAATGCCCCCCCTCTCTGACACACACACACACACACACACGGGGTGGGGGCAGGAAGGATATCTCTCCCTTGTCTGTCCGTGCCATCACCCAGGACATGAGTGACAGGGACAGCTCTCCCATGCTCATACCCTCTGAGATGGCTTACCCCAACCCCCAAATGTGTGGGACCCCCTCTCTCCTGAGCTTGCAGCTGGCTAGGGGCTGGGTCAGCTCTCCTGCTCTCACACCTCCAGGGCCAGCTCTCCCACAATGCCCAGGTGAGGGGTGGGGCCATTTCTGCACAGCCTTCAGCCATTAACATGTCCCTGGGAGGCAGTGAGATCAGCAGCATCTGTCTGGTCTTTGATGGTAACAGACCCCTGGGGCTGCAGTGCCACAGACCCAGAAGTGACCCCGATGGCAGCATATACCCAACCATGGTCCCAGGTGCCATCACCAGATACTCACATCAGGCCATTCCTCACTTCTCTCTAGTCTCCAGCTCTGCTTCTCTTCACTGTGCTCGCATCCCTCTGTTCCTCTTTCTCTTCCATTTCACCACCACTTACTGGCTCCTGATAGTGGTGCATGGGGTCCCTGAGTGTCTGGGGTTGTCTCAGGAGTGGTCTTAGCTGTGCTGTGCCATTCTTGTGCTTTATGGCACAGGGTAGGGGTCATCTCAGGTATGGTCTGCCTCCTCGGGCCTACATAGCTTAGGACTGATGATCATCTCAGGTTATCTCCCTGTCTGGGCCCTATGGAGTCAGTCTGGTGGTTGTCTTGGGCTTGCTCCTCACCTGGTTCTACCTAAGTGGCCCCATGAAAAGGTAGTATCTCAGGCTCACTCCTGCCTGGGGCCTTAGGTCCCAGGCAGGGTTCTTCTAGCCTCCAGCTTGCTTCCCACTCTGGGAGCACATCTGGCTGGGCTTCATCAGTGCCTAGACTGGTGGTCATTTCAGGCTCAATTTTTTCAGGGAGTGTTAGGCTACTAATCATTCAGATGTTTACAGGTCAGAACACTGAGCATAGACAGAGCCTCTCTCCTCTTCATCACTTACTGATGCACATGTGACACAGCAGCCTGTGTCACCTGCAATGCCTCTTCCAGAGTCAGTCAAGCCAGCAATATTCTTAATAGACTAAACATGTGACCTTATATCCACAGAGAAGCAGCACTCATCCCTCATCAATGAATTTTCTCTTTGCCATGATCTGAGACAGTTGCAGAAAAACACAATCTGCAAATTTGTGGAGTCCAATCCCACTGATATATGTACAACACAATTCCTATACCCAGGGCTCAGGAATCATTAAGGAAGAGGAGCCAGGAAGAGCACATAAATTGGTTATCCAATATCAAAAGGACAACCCTGAAAATATATATACAAGCAATATTACACAGAATGATATATATATATATATATATATATATATATATATATATATA